TTTTTTTATCTGCTTGGGGGCTTGCGCCCCCTAGCAGCGGCGCAGCGCCGCTGCTGAAAACATATAGGGGAAACACTGGGTTTACATTTATTTAACATTAGAAATGTATTAGTCTGGCCAATCCAAGACTTCAATGCTGAAGTGCCAATGGATCTATGGTGGGGGTCAGCACAAAGGTCAAGACTTCGATGCTGAAGGGCCAGTGGATCTATGGTGGGGATCAGCACTAAGGTCAAGACAACCCACATTTGAAAGGGAGACAACGGATAACTAGTGACTTGCTCAATTCATTTGTGAGGGATCTGTGAAGAACATGACAACAGCTGCACTACTGGTGTTTAGTATACCAGCAATTGAGGGTGGACAAGTTTACTACCACTTAGGTTTCAAATAATTGTGTTAATTACTGATTGTAAAGCATTTGAACATTCTTTTGTGTCACATTTTCATTATTAAGTTGATGTATAACTGTATAGTATATTAATTATTTAAAATATAAGGTGACTAAAAATGGCAACCGTATTTTCAGTTTTGGCAACCAAAAGCTGATGCCTGGTTGCCAGCCTGGCAACCACTTTTAAAAGTTAGCGTTGAGCCCTGTCTAAGGATTTGTGCCAATCACCACATTTAAAAATCTGCATACCTTCATACTGTAAAGTGTCAATAAAAGATCAGACAACTGTAAAGAAATCTACATTTGATATGAGAAAAACCCTCAAATCCTTACTTATATGTTACTGACTTTGTGCTAGTATTTATCATTACATTTCACTTGTTATACTCAATACCGTGGACAATCCCCACAGGAGCAATTTGGGGTGAAGTGTCTTTCCCAGGGACACAACGACATGCTGACTGCAGTGGGGTTTGAACCAACACACATCCCACTGCAACACACGCATCATATTGAATGTATTCTTTTATACAACATTTTGACAATTTGTGTAACTGCTGTACGTAGAGATGTCCATCAGCCAAGCACTTCCATATAATGCCTTTAAATTCACGCAGCATCATCAACACATTCTATCAATCCAAAGTGTTACAGTTATGCCACCAGGCATTTGTGACTTCCTGTAGAGAGGACTGCTTTGTGACTCATGCATCTGTCAATCTATGTCCACAGGTGACGTGTTTAGGTGTATTCAGCATGTGTCTATTCATGTTGTTTATGCATGCAGTCTTTGAGTTTACAAGGTGATCTGCTCTCACATGGGGCGCACAGGCTAACAGCTGATAACGCTGAAAGCTGTGATCACTCAAAAATACTGCAAAGTGGAACATGTGTTCTTTCAAGGGGACACAAGGACATTTGATCTTGGTCCAAAGTGTCTCCTACCTTGCAACAAATTGAGGAAACATACCATCTACTTTGGGGATGGAGGTAACAGCTGGTATGATATTGCACGTGTAGCTCCAGGCCTCACCTGAAGATGGCTCTGTTGAGGTAGTCTGCGTGCGTGCGGTGGATGGCGTCCAGGTCGTTAGCAGTGGCCAGTTTGGCAGTGAACTCCATCCAGGACACTTGCAGGATCTGGTTGGTGATGTATCCCTGTATCACTTTAACAAAATGCTGCATCTCATGTCTGTAGAGCTGCAGCTGATGAAACTGCACCGAGCGGCCCGCACCTTTCACCAGAGCTGAGGGGGAGTCAGATGGAAACAAGTCAGTGCTGCGGGGAAACCTTTGCTGGCATTTAAATGTGGAGATCGGCTGTGAATAATATTGTTTCAGTGAAGGCTACGTCCCTCGAACACCTTAACACTACGTTTTTACCCCTTCAGGATATCCATTTAAGTGGTCTCTGCACAGGCTCCCACTGATCAATAATATCCGGCCCAGTGAAGCACACTGTTTTGACTACAGTCCCACTGCTATGAGACGTATAAATAAAACAGAAAGGAATCGCAGCATCCCCCTCAATGAATATTTTATCAACAGTTGAAGCGCAACGGGAAGAATTGTAACTCTTTCTGCTCAGAGGTGAAGTTGAGTCAGCTCCCTCCTCTTCCTCACCTGTCCTCTTGAGGTGGAACCAGACCTCGCGGAGGCTCCACACCATGTGTTTGAGCTGCAGCACAAACGAGAACAGTCGGTTGTATTTGTTCATGCAGCTGTCCGTGATGATGATGTTCAACGGCCAGTCCACCTGGGAGATGACGGGTAGGAAAAGAGACGGGAGGTGAACAAAACAGTGTGTGAAGGTGTGAGTGTGAAGAAGGAAAAGGAAACAGAAGTTATGAAGAACAGGTGAAATGAAGCGTGACAAATGAGGCGAGGGGAGGAGAAAGGTGTGAGCGCAGAGACGTTGATAAAGGAGGTGAGAGGATTGTGAAGCGAAGGCAGGGTGGTGAGAGATAGGGGGTGGGAAAGGAAGGAGGAAGATGTGTATGGGGAGAGAGCGTAGCAAAGAAATGTGAAGCAAAAGATGGAGAGGGAGGAGATTGAGGAAAGGTAAAACATGGAGATTCAGCAGGAGGGAGAAAAACAGAGCAGAGGACAATATGTGCGGCATAAGTAACTGTACATGTCATCCGAAAGACTCAACTCCAATCAATCTGCAAGGTTCCACCATTAAGTGCTTGATAAGCTCATTTCCACACCCAGAGCAGTTTGTCAAAACATGACAGGTCGTCACATTCAAGCTGCCACTCACGCTGCGACAAGCGCACTCATGCAAGCGCTCGCACTCCGTTACTCACTCCACTGAAACACAGCGCCTCACCTTGTAGCGCAGCTCCAGACAGTTGAGGGAGTCGGGGGCGTGCGGGTGGAAGGTCTCTGGGAGGAAGCGCAGGGCGAAGGTGAAGTTGCCCGCTAACGGTGTGTCTCCGTGTAAGCTGTACTGCAGGGCCTTACTGAGAATGGAGTTCAGGACGAAGGGGGTCAGCAGCTCCCCGGGGGTCTGCCCACTGCCCAGCTGCAGGGACGAGACATTTGTCAAATAATTACACATAAATGTAAAGGTCACCTATTATGCAAAATCCACTTTTTCATGTCTTTTACATCAACACGTGTCCCTTCTGGGTAAAGAGACTCTGAACGTTTCAGGAAAAAAGATTCTCCTTTTTTTTTTGTCCTGATCCATTTATATAAAAAACCTGTCTGAAAATGAGCTGATAAGATTTTGGCCACTTTGTGATGTCATAACGATTTTTTAGGCTTGTGCAACCATTAGCCAATCACCAACCAAGGTAACACTGGTTGTATCAACAGTGTTATCGAAACACTCAATAACCTCAGTTAATGTGAATAAAAGTGAATTCAAGCAAATCCAAATGATCACCACATGCAACACAGCCACATAGCAATCTAAAATCTAAAAT